GGAGAAGGCAGGGTATGCACTATTCATAACGGCGAAGAAACTCACCTCCTACTTTCAGGCCCATCCTATTATCGTATTGACCGACCTACCATTGGGCACGGTCATGAGGGATTCCACTTCATCGGGAAGGATGATTAAATGGGCCATGATGCTTACCCAATTCAACATTGAATATCGTCCGAGGACGGCGATAAAAGGGAAGGCCGTGGCTGATTTTCTTGTAGAGATGACGGGTCACCAGCAAGAAGAACCGGCTAAGGCTATCACAGAGCCTTGGTGGTCCATGTCAGTAGATGGAGCCGCTGGACCGAAAGGTTACGGTGGAGGTGTGGTATTCACAACTCCGGAAGGGTTCAAGGTATATCATGCCTTGATCTTTAACTTCAAACTCACAAATAATGAGGCGGAGTATGAGGCATTGATAGGGGGCCTGAGATTGGCCAAAACCCTACAAATCACATGCCTCAGGATCAAGTCCGATTCAAGCTTAGTGGTAGGCCACATCAATGGCAACATGGAGGCCAAAGGAGAGAAGATGCAGAAGTACAGAGACTTGGCAAGGGCATTATTGAAGGATCTGACTGAGTATGTGATGGAGCAAATCCCTTGGGGGGAAAACACGGATGCTGACTTGCTATCAAAATTGACGCAAGCAGCCCCGGAGCATGTGTCCAAGTTGGCCAGGATTGAGACGCTGGAAAAGGCTAGCATTGAAAGGCTTTCTGTGGGCCTGATAGAGGAGGATGGACAGCCCAATCTAACCCTGGTGGAACCTGATGATATTTGGATGGATGACTTGGTCAAGTATTACATGACCGGGCAATTCCCAGAGGATGAGGATAGGGTAAGAAAAGTAAAATTGAGGGCTCCAAGATTCCAAATGCTTGATGGAAGGCTATACAAAAGGGCATTTGGCGGTCCGCTGCTGAGATGCTTGACCAGGGCGGAGGCGGAAAGAGTGATCGCCGAAGTTCATGAGGGTGTCTGTGCAGCCCATCAAATGTCCAGGACACTCGCACAAAGGATCCTTTTGCTAGGTTATTTCTGGCCTACAATGAACCAAGATTGTGAGAAGTATGTGCAAAGGTGCAAGACTTGCCAGGTGTTCTACAAGTTTCCGGGAAGGCCTGCGACATATTACCA